GAATATATTGAATATATTTTTTAACTGGATATTTTTATTTACCTCGGTCTACGGACAACACATCACAGGTTTCATAAAGACAACAATCACACACATAATCCCAAAATAAAATCTTGCATTGTGGAATAAAAACTTGCTTCCAAAAAGAAATAAAATATGACCAAAGAAAACGTGCTTCATTGCATATGGTGCAACTCACAATGTGCAATATTCCAAAGCAAGTCTGCAAATTTTGGACAAACATTGCCAGGTTTTAAATTGAGGCTAAATATGTTAGCTAAATTTTCTCTGATATTATACAAATTGATCCAACTAACAAACCTTGAGATATTCTCACTTTTCTGAAGCTAACTTTTTCTTTGGTGATGAGAATCTGGAAAGGAAAACTTTCATGTCAGATTCTTATTTCACCGATACACGAGCATTTGGTGCAATCACTGACTTCGAAAGCCTTGTTCACTAATGCAGGAATGAATTCATTTCTGCAACACACAAAAATGAGAGATGTAACTGGAACAACCTCGAAAAGGTTGACGATCTGTGGAATTAAAATTTGTACATTCTACATTACTTCTGGCCAAGTATCAGCCTTTCAGCCAACGTCGAAAAAGCTACTCTTGGCAGGAAATATTTTATGTCGTATATACGCGGGCAATATTTTTTTCGTACGGAATTTATTTTTGTTGGTTGAAAAGGAGGTGCAAGTAGAAGGATTCATGAGAATTGCGGGTTTTTAATTCATGGCCCTATCAAGAAGTCAAGGCAGTGCTTGAGTTCTTTTTTGTTTTGCGTTCTTTTTTTTTTTTTTGATGCCTGTAGTTTGAACAGTTTGGGGTATCGACCCAGCGCAGGGAAAGATACTCCACCTGACTTCGGCCTCCCTTTCATATAGTCATGCAATGTTCTTTTTTACTTTTTTCTCTCGCAATAGAACGGAAAATTTCCTTCCGTACTTATATTTATATCTTCAATTTGACGTGTGTGCGTGCCTTCGAGAGACAGGGAAGGAAAATTTCATGCAGATTCGCGTTGGTGGGGTGGAATTTTGAGGTGATTCTGCCCTCGAAATGGACCAATTCGGACCGCATCGATCCAATTTTTCTGCGTTAGTCGGAATCTCTTGGGAATCTTTTGAAGACTATGACTCGGGTTCACGCGTTTTTTGCAGGTTTAGGAAATGTTGAACTTGCTATTATCTGAAAATCGCGGGGTTTTTTTTCGTGAATCCGTAGGAGAGGTGGATGTCTGCTCTCGGAGGTTGGACAATTTCTTCCTTTTTTTCTCTGAGTCTTTAAATTGAACATGGGACGATAGAAATTTTGTGATTCTTCCAAGAAGTGATCATGATAATTAACTACCTCAGGCTTTTTTTTTACTTCTTTTCTCTGCAATGAAAAATTGCAAACGGACACTAAGTCATCCATCATCGTCTCTTTTTGACGTTGAATCTAGAGTTAATCTTCCACAAATTGTTGTGATGTCTGAGTTCATTCAAGTTTCTCAAAAAGCAAACCCAAGCCCTCTTCACAGATGCCACTTGAAAAAAAATTGTAATTGAATATAATTGAGTTTCTAGTTTTAAAATTCCACTATGAATTTAAAAAAAATTGACCAGCACTAGACTTTTTGACGTACTTCCAGTCGCTACAGAAGTAGGAGAAAAAATTATCTTGCATCGAAATCTTAAAATGCTGTATTGCACCGCACAGTATGGGACTTCAGAATGTCATCCTTGGAAGTTGAAAATTTTCGAAGTTCAAAATTGAGCTGTACACGTATTTAACGGAATATCACGAGTATTTTTCGGTTTTTAAAGAAATTTTATCTTGGGATTTTAATTCAAATTAATTTCTATGTGATCAAAGATTATTTGAAACTTCGGATCTTTTTCAAACTTCACGCGATTTTCTTCATGGAATGTGGGCCGTTATTGATCTTCAGGTCACTGCTGGTGTACGTTAATTTTGACGGGTTTATGATAGCTTGGAATTCTGCTTTGCTAATGAAACTTTTCCTTATACAGTAGAATATTGTGCTGAAAAAGTGTCAAAAAATAAACTTCAAAGCAGTTTTCGTCGACTTGTCCAGTATATTTTCCGAACTACACGCCAGAGAATCAGGACTCCGCTCTTCCTGCATAAACTGCACCCAACAACAACAACAAAAAGAGAAGGTCAAATTCGGTGATATTCGGAACGACGACACGTTTTGCATCAGCTGTAACCTTGGGCCTATAGACTGAAAAAAAAAACCGGCTGCATATGCAGCAGCAGCAGCAGCATGTGCCGACATTTCCCGTGCTACATCTCGTCGCTGCAATGACGACATGGACGACGACGACGACGACGACGAGGCTTGCATATCCCCCGACATCGGCGCCATCCGTCGCCTGTCGTTCGCTGTGCTCCCCGCGAGGATAATAACTGCTATTTCCCCCCGAACGGCTCTTGCAGCTGGAACCATCAGACGACCGAAACGTGCCCTTTTCCCTGAGCTCACATAACCCCTGTACCCCGAGGCTTCAACGGGGGGTCCCAAAAATGCTAACCCACTTGATATGTGCACTGCTGGGACCGAGGAATACGTCGGGTAAATTTTTTTTTTCTCGCAATAAAACGTTGAGCTAATAAACCAGGTGGGACCGTTTTCACTCGTTGAATCAGAATGAGCGTGCGTATGTATACGTACGGATTTTCCCGTGGTCGAAATATCGGACGAGACTTCACCTTGAATATACGATGAATCATTGAAGTTTCTGTACTTCTGTCATCACAATTGAGTTGTGAAGAATTTCGATCTGTTTGCTTTAATAGCAGCATTTGTGCATAATGATTAAAAAGAAGAATCGTCCCGGGAGAAAAATGATGGGTGGAGGGTATTTCACAAAATAGGGTATCCAGACAATTGACTACTCGATCGTCTAGCAGATGAAGTTGGAATCAGTAAATTCATGAAAAACAAAAATTCCGCTTCGAAAATAAGGTTTATTCAAGTTTTATGCAGTAGACGATTCTAGTGATTAAAATCTTGTAGATTAAGCTAAATTGCTTCCCACGATCATCACAGAATGGAAAAGATCATGAAACAGTAGTATGAGGAGCGAGGAATTTTTTTTTTTCAACAAAATGAGATATATTTTTCAAGCAACGGATTTTTCTGAGAAATTTTTTAACGGTGATCAAGATTTTTGCATTTTTCGATGGCATTATTCGTGTGCACAATTAAGCTGGAGAATAATTTTAATTTTATTTTAGCATTTTTTTCGAAATTATTTCATATGAAAATACTTATTACGATGAGAAAATTCAACTTCGGATTCCGCAAGCGTTATTCCAAATCTTATTTCTTCATCGTTAATAGTCATGAGAATTTTTCATGCATATGGCAACTTCCACCAATAATGCAAAATTTCGATTTATTCATCCATCTTACCTAAGGTTCATTCTTTTTGAGTATAAATTGCGCAAGCGGAAATACAAATTCCACGCATTCATCAAGCTGCAAACTTGCGGAAAATTCAGCACTCGCAGACGTGAGGGAAGAGGAAACTGGTCGATGAAAATTGTTGCGACTGACTGGCTTCTGCTTCATATAACCGCGAGGAAGTCGATAAGCAAGGTCTTCATTGGCGTGAAAAATTGTGCTTCGCTGAAGGGTACAATATTCATGAATCTTCGTCGATGGGTCTATACCGAGTCCCGCATGCAATCCGGATTTCCCCATTTATTCTTCCTTTCAAACTACGTTGTTCGGCAGAAAGGAAAGAAATATTGAGCTTATCGTCTGAATCCCACACTCCCCTGAGCGATTTCCCCCCGAATGATGGAGAAACAGGATCAACAGCACTCAGCAGTATATTTTTTTCTGATGTACTATATTGATAAACGTGTAATTTTGTTTAGCATTCTGTGTCCTAGTCAAAATCCGAGTGCAAACGAGTTCGCATATTTTTCGCATCAACAATCTAACTTCTATAGTATTTCTCCGACTGGAATAATTCCGTCTTTTTCCGTCTTACTGAACGACGAGAATACGCGTGAATTGTTCGCCTGGAAATGTGGAAGGGCATGGGTTATGTAACTTGACAAGCTTATGGATGAGATGAAGATAAACACGTAATGAGTCAGTTCTTTTTTTTCTTTGAGCACTCAGTATTGAGCCAAGGAAAAGCGTGCTTGAGGGTTAACCTCCATGGCTTGATGATTTTATTACCCTACTACCACGCATGTCACGACGTTGCCATGTCACTCCAACGAATCCCTCACATAAAGCCCGGGGATTTCGCTTTTTGCCCTCCAATTAGCATCAGATCTAGGGTAATCTCTGAGTAATTCTGTGTCCTGGCTCGGGTGCAAGTTCTGAACCCAACTGCGCATCCGGACAGCTGTGCACCACCTGGTTCTTTGTCATCGGGACAACTCAGCGCAATACCCAACTCAGTGTGAGCCTATATGAGTTGACTAATGTTATTCGATTGCCAACTTTTATTGCGATTCTCAGCAAACGGGACAAAATTCTTGCACGTTATTTTCGCCGTTGTCGCAGGAGATTCAATGCTAACAATCTTTGCGTTTGCAATTTTTAACTGTGTTACAGAAACATTCAGAGGTGAAATATTGATATAGCAAGCTTTCAGAGACCTCACAAAAATGTGTTATTGGTAAATATTCGGTTTTTACTGCAAACGCAGATTAATTCTTCAAAATATGTGATATCCTAACCATGTCAAATTCTTGAAGAAAATAACGGTTTCCCAGCATTTTACGCCATAAGATTTGCAGCCGCCAAATCAGCGCCAAATTTTCCCGAGTACAGATTTAAACATTCTCCGTGTAGCATTTGTGGAGTGATCTGTGGTTTTTCAAATGAGATGGTTAACCCTTCAGAATTAATCTTTGCGAAAGCAGAAAAAAATCGGAGCAAAAAAAATCACTAGAGATTGTAGAAGGAATATTGAGGAACCCTCCCGAAAGTAAATTTGCCGTAATATTTATTTAAAATTGGCCTCTACAGATTTCATATCGATAATTCTGTGGATTTTATGCCGAAACCTTTGAAAATTTCATAGGGAATACTGTACTGTACTTGGCTTTTCAAAAATTCGCTGTTATGGAATTTCTCTTTTATACGGCCATGTCTTCCTTTTGCTGACATTGAAAAAAAAAAAAACTTGCAGACCTTCATCCAAGCGCCGGAGGTGAATTGATGCCATATGAAAGTTTAACTGATGAAGGAACAAAAAGACTCAGCAAGCACGAAGCCTATGTGTAGCTGTCCACAGAGTTTCAGGTTTTTTTTGAGAATAAATCGCCGGCGCGAAAAAAAAATTTGACGTTAAATTCCGTCACCGAATTCAAGTCCTTGCTGCAGAGAAAACTCTTGTTAGGTTTCAGCTCGAAAAAAAACAACCTGCCTCCTTCCATATGGCCCTGGCTTAATTGCTGGTCATAAAAAGGTTCGAAGAAACAGTGGCAGGAAATATCTTCAGCTCCGCTTCCTCTAGCACTTCTGAGCAAATAAATGTTGGGAAAGTTTCTGCTTCCGGACATTATATATAACTATAGAAGCGAGGAATAGGATCTTTGAAAACAACCGAAAATCGGTTCACTGTATATATGAGCCGGCTCAATTTCTGGGGCATAAGGAAGTCTCGAAACTGAAGGAACACTCGGGAAAATGAACCAGGCGGGAACCGCATCTCAGAGAAACAAATGACATCCTGTCACAATTGGTGTAAGCAAAATATCAGAACCTAATGTTCTCCCGGGAAAAGGTTCTGAGAAAATTCTGTAAGCAAAACCTCCTCCATTCCCCCAAAAAAAATTTTTTGAGAAATATCTTTCACAGAACATTCGGCAATCAACGAGATGTCTCTCAATAAAATCTAAAAAAAAATACGCTGCTCAAATTTTCTCGGTTTATTTTAAAATTGTTCTGTCAATTGAAAAAGTTATCTTCCGTGAAGCATTTTTTATGTCAATACTGTTGCAAAAAATAAATGGCTGTAGTCAATTTGTCACACAAAATCAGAGAACCCAAATTCTTGGGGAAATCCTTTTCATTTATCTTTGTGAGAACCAAGGAAGATATTTTTTCTCAAATTTCTTTCATGTTTTTTACTGCTAAAATCCAGTTGCCTTTTTTTTGTCCTTGGAAGACAGTTTTCCTGTTTTCCAAATCTGTTTGAAAACTTCATTTCTGCCCAAGCTCTCGTGTGTGACACTCGAGCAATTTTTGCAAATATTTGTGTTTATTTTTGACAACAACCTTATAATAGGGTGAATTTTTTCCCCGGTTGTGGCCCGACCAAATTCCGTCATTTTATTTTTTATTCTTAAAATTCAAACGTTTGAATCTTAACTCAATTTCTAAAATTCTATCTTGTCTGGAATTCATTCCTGAAAAATACCGGCAAACTAATGTGCCACACATTCAACGATTCTGCGTCGGGAATTGCCCAATATTCCTCTCTGTTCAGCTGTCCATCAATGCCGCTCATGCAGTTGTGCAGTCACAATAATTTTAATTGGTAACCCTACCATATTCTTTCAGAGTTTTCTTTATTCTTGACAATTTTTCTAGGCCTCTCTGCCTGAAGAAACTCGACACGACACCGGGGAGTTGTACAGGAAATTGTCGCTGAGCGATTTGAGGCGGGAGGTGCACGTTTTTGATTGGGACACATACTTCAATGCTTCGCTATTCATCAAGATCGATGAGGATGAGCCGATCGTGACGTACTCACTGCCCTATTTGCAGAGGATGAGCAAGATCATTAGCAAGACTGACAGACGGTGAATAGCATTTTCCTCTTCCATTTGTCAAGTTACGGTTGAAGTGGTAACCTAATTGCCGAATCGTGGAAAAGCTCAGAGCCCCATAAAACTTCGTCACATTCAACGTGACACATCGAGTCTATTGATTTCTTCGAAATACTCTATATCAATTATTACCACGTGCGAATAAAGCCATTTTAAAGCGATGAAAGGCGAGCCTAATATTTTAGGAAACATGTACACTCGTATTTGAGTTTTGGTGAGAAATTTCAAATAGGGCCGTCATTTTTCCATGTAACGCAATCCTTGCGGTGTTTTCTGAGTGATCAACTGATTTGAATCATCATTCTAGTTTTTATCATAAGAAATTATTAAATAAAATTAGGAAGAGCAACTTTTTGTCTCCGATTTCAATGCAACTTTTTTGAAGAAAATTATCTTCTCATCCGTTTTCAATTGATCTCAATGTGATTCTAATCCAAGCAATACCAAACGTAAATTTCTACATGCATAATTTTGATTCAAATATATTAATCTAAAAAATTAGAAATAGCAGATATTCGTATCGGCTATGCCTCAAAATCCGACGATAAGAAAAATTATTTCTCAACCGTTCTCATCTGAACCTAATTTTACGCGTGATCCAATGTTGAAGATACATTATTTGTCTGCGTAAAATGTTCATCAAAATGAATAACAGTATCGCACAGGGTTAGAAAATGGGAAAAAATCCGTCTCCACCCGACATTTCGACGTTCAAGAAAATCTTCTCTCGCCGTTCTCATTTGAAACGAATTTTACGCGTAATCCAAAAATTGTTATGTGTGACTAATTTGTATGAAAATAATTTACAGTATTGTACATAATTATGAAAGGAAACCTTTTTTGTCTCCGCCTAAAATTTCGGCAGTAAATGAAATTTTCGCTAAACCGTTCTCACGTGATAAAGCTAATTTTACGCGTAATCCGAATAATGTCGAAGAAATTCGTCTGCGCCAAATGTTTATCGAAATGAATTACAGTAATGTACGGACTTCGGAAAGGGAAAATTTTCGTCTTCGCCCAGAATGTCTACAGCAAATAAAATGTCTCGTCCAACCGTGTTCATCTGAACAAAAGTCAGCGCGTCATATTCTTCCAAACAATTCCCAAATCTGAATGTTGGAGCGTAGCCAGCAGAGAGTGCTAAAATCAAAGTCAGTCTACATATGATTGAGCTTTTCTTTGAAATTCGCGTCATTCGGTTCGGAACAGGATCGTGCACAATCTGGTCGTCTGGCACCTGATCAAGGAGCTGATGGGCGTGATGCCAGACGGCTACCAGGAAGTGCTGGCGGAATTCAAAAGATCTTTGCTGGGGATCAATGCCCATAGGGGACTCTGGAAGACCTGCGTGGACATCACCAACAAACGCATGGGCATGGCTGTCGGGGCCATGTACATCCGAGAGACCTTCAATCATCAAAGCAAAGTTAGAATTTTGTTTCACAATTACTGTACTACAAGCATTAAGCGTAGAAACCTAGAATAACCGGGATATAAGATCATTATTCAGGGATCCGAGTGAACTTCACCGAGTTCGCAATTCATCGCAAAGAAACGATGGATTATTCAGCGATGCTTGGGAATTCTCATGAAGTGCCTTCGGGTTTCCTCGTTATTATCTTTTTTCCTTCGCTGAAGCTAATACTGTACGTCGGATTTTTCAAGGAAATTTGGAGGATTATGGATTCTATGCAGTAATTCTGACCAGGCTTATATTTTTGGCAGTAACTTAAAAGTCCGAATTTTAAGCGTAATCCGAACAAGAACTAGCGTAGTTCTCTGTGTCTAATTTTTATTGAAACAAATTACTTCAATGTAGAGAATTAGATAAAAGAACATTTTCTTTTCCACCCCAAATTTCGAAAGCTGAGAATTTTTTTGAGGTATCCTAAGCAAACCTCCCCGAGTTTTGAATTCATCGCGAGACAAAAAAAAGATTATTTCGATCATGAATCGAAATTCTAATAAATTTCTTCGGTTTCTCTCGTAATTAGTCATTTTCTTTCAGGATTCATAAAGTATACTCAAGCTAGTTACAGTACTGTAAATTTTATTTTCCAATAAATACGGAGTGATTTGGATACGACTCTGCAGTTTTTCTGCAGTATTTCTGCAGCGGGGGCTTATATTTTTGGCAATAATTTAAAAGTTATGAATGCGAAGGATTTGATTCTGCAGGTATCCGAGTAAACCTCCGCGAATTTGTAGTTCAGCGCGAGAAAACAATAGTTTTTTTCAGTATTAAATGGAAATTTTGATGAATATCTTTTTTTTTTCCTCGTGACCAGCATTTTTTCTTCGGGATGCATTGCTTACTCAAGTTAAAAGTTCACACTTCATTTTTTCAAAGGAATTTCTGTAGAATTTTTGGAAACTGTGCAGTATTAGTGAGCGAGCTTATATACCTCTGACAATAATTTATAAGCTGGAAATATATTCCAAAACACAGGTTTTAAAAATCGCTGATGCTTCCTCTTGTTTTTATTCAAGTAAATTATGAATGCAGCAAGTTATCGAAGCCGTTTCGAAAGTGTGAAAGGTATACATTTTTCAACCACATTGGCAAGATTTGCAGTCCGATTCCAACTACAGGAAGTGAAGAATTCAGGTCACAATCATGCGTTTCATTACGATGATGATACTGAACAGCGCATGAAGGTTTAACGCCGTTTTATTTCTCATCATTTATCAGTATAAACTGCTTCTGATCACACTTATGTGAATAAAGACAGTTCTCGTTTTTCGCGCCTTTGCATGATTCGCCAGAAATAAGGCAGGAATTACAGTATTTTTTCATAACGTTTTTCTACTCAAATACTGTAGTAAAATCAAACGGTCTTCAATCGAATTCCATCAAAACTATACGAAAATTCGTTGGCGAAATTGATGGCAGGGAAACGACTTTGCAATGACGTCTGGGAATTTTCGAGTCTTGATGTGAGTTAATTTTTAAAATGCTGTACATTCCTGTTTTTTTTCTGAGATGCCAAGTTAGTAAGGTACTAATTTTTGAACCTGCATTAACGGACGTATTATATCCACGAATTCCACAAAAGCCGAGCCGTGAAACACGGCCTTGCTGTTGGTTCAACCCAAGTATTTCAGTTGCTTCCCTCACGTGATGTGTCTTATTCGCAGTGCAAATCCGGTTAAGCCGGGACAGGATAATCTAATATGACTCTGTTTGACAGGAAACAGCTCTGGAGATGATCCATACCCTAAGGGAGGCCTTTAACGAGCTCCTGGAAGACAATATTTGGATGGACGACGAGACACGCCGAGTGGCCAGAGAAAAAGCAGATGCCATGAATGAACGCATCGGTTATCCAGACATGCTTGAAAACAAACACGAGCTACCTTTAACGAGCTCCTGGAAGACAATATTTGGATGGACGACGAGACACGCCGAGTGGCCAGAGAAAAAGCAGATGCCATGAATGAACGCATCGGTTATCCAGACATGCTTGAAAACAAACACGAGCTAGAAGCAGAATTTCACGACGTGAGTCATCGAAATTTTAATTCTTTCACTATAATTAACGTGTTGAAAACACATCTGCACTGAACAGAAATTAAGTGTAAAACCCTTTTCTGTTTTACGTCAATGCGACCCTGTTCCATCGTTTTCATGTATATAAAAAAAAAGAAGAAGAAAAAGTGGTCATTCTTACGAATCTTACCCAGCAACTCCTGAACCCCATTTTCTATGATTGATTGATTTTCCAAATCTAAGCGTTCACAAGGTTCAAAAAATCCCCCCCCCCCCATAAAAAGGAAAATAATTCACTATATGCCTATTAAAAGAAAATATATCCCAGTAAATACGAATGCATGAATGATGAGTTGCTATTATTTTTATGGCAAAATTCACAGAACAAAGGAATCACTGAGTAAAAATTGAACCACAATTTATACAGCCGCCTAAGTAGGACTTCTTTGGTATGGACCTCTAACCTTGGCTCCTGGCTTTCAAGCTTAAATTCAATCTTTGAACTGGGGAACAACACAAGGCCAGGGGAAAAAAAAGGGAGCCTTGAAGATTCAATTTTTCCATTTCCAAGTAAAATGTTTCTGTGGAAAAAAAATTAAAAATTCCAGGATTTTTCCTGACTTCGCCCTCCACATTGTTCTTAGGTTGGTGTCCTTTGAGAGACGAAAATTTTGTAAATGATACTCCAGTGACTTGACTTGAAATGATTGAAAAGCATAATCAGCAGTGACATCTACCAAAATGTAGATGCTTGACTGAAATTTAGTTGAAGTGCCGAAAATTTATTTTAAGGATACCGATGTTTGACATAGTCTCCCGTGAAGTCAATTCCTTGTAAAATTATAGACAATGTACTAAATCTTTGTAGGCGGAGATACGTCTAATTTCCTGTGAAAAATAAAATTATGCAAGTGATACTTGACAATTTGAAATGATTCGAAGGTGTCTGTCAGCGACATCTGCCAAAATTTAGACGCTTGACTAAAGCTTAGTGGAGCGACCAAGCGTCGAAAATTCATTTCGTGGATACCAATCTTCGACATATTGTCTCACATGAAGTCAATGCCAGAAAAAAATTGACGGTGTAGTAAATCGTTTTAAACAGATATCGAGTCTGCGGCACATGCTTGCATTTCTATATATATAGTAATCGATTCAAGGAAGCAGAGCCGCATCGATTTGTTGACGAGTCAAGCTCGTCGTGTGCATGTGGCAATGCGAGTGCCGTTGTTTATCAGATACTGATAATCTTTCGCATTTTTCTCCCACCATTTTTTTTCTCTTTTATGTTTTCGCGCAGTTAGACGTGCACCCGTCGAAATTCCTCGGGAACATATTCGCAGCGATGCGATACGAGGGTCATCGGATAATGAAGAAATTGCGAGAGCCGGTTCGGAAAGATCGATGGTCGACGTTGCCGGCTGTCGTCAACGCCTTCTACGACCCGCACAAAAACGACATCGGTAATTCCTATATAGGGAAATACAGAAGCATTAACCATCCCGAAGCATTCGTCAGAATTGTAGTTACTTGTCGCATTTATATTCGAAATGAATACCCCTGACAGGTAAAGCGGGGATTATCGTGTGATTACTCCTGGCTCTTGACCACTTATTATTTTCACGCTTCAGAGTTCATGATTATTGCCGCCTACTTATACCTTCATCGTAAGGATACATACATACGGTGTTTTGTTTTTTACGAATGCATGAAAAATGACTTCGAAGTGCTGTCTCATGTACTAATTTTCACGCTTCAGAGTTAATGATTATTGCCGCCTACTTATACCTTCATCGTAAGGATACATACATACGGTGTTTTGTTTTTTACGAATGCATGAAAAATGACTTCGAAGTGCTGTCTCATGTACTACAGTGCAAATAACTTCCAGCGCTATTGTGGGTTAAGTTTAAAGCATGATGGGAAGGATCTGTGAATTTAATTATTGAATTAAAATTGTGGATAAGTTACCGCCATGATGACCGTTTTCTTCATGAACTATTAAGGTTTTACAACGCGAAAGAACTGGAAATAGGTCTGAGGGTTTCACGTGCAAAAGCTTTTAAGATTCAGAATTCCAACTTTATTTCTATTCTTTCTTCTAATGGACATTTAAAATCCAATTTGAAAATGAAAGGGGTATTGCTTTAATTTAGTCACGTCCGCACCTCATGAAATCTTTGAATTTGATTAACTTTGTTGAAAACGGAATTCAAGAGAACTGAAACGTAAACGTGTTCTGGGCTCTTCGATATTCTCGAAATTGGTGTCCAGGAAAATTTTCCATCGTTTAATTCATGTAGGAAAGTAATATTTCCGCGTAGACTCTTTAAAAATGGTGACTCGAGACAAAAAATTTTGATAGATGGATCAAGAAAAACTTTCAAACTTGTCTAAATAAGTTTGAAGGTTACCCCTTCAAACCAGCTTTTTTCGTCACTTTTCATTACGTTCGTCCAACCTTCCGCTATATAAACAAATTCTGCTTGTTCTTATACTTGCCAGATATTGATTCAAGATTTTTGAAGTTCCAACAACGTCAAAAAAGAAAAAAATGTCTTCTCATTGATTCGCTGACAAGCGTAAATGTTTGGCTTTGATGATCATCTCAGCGTATACATGAAGACCCTCTGACCTTTTCTTCTCACCAGAGAAAACTAATTTTTCCGAAATTTTCCGCCTGGAACAAGATCAACACGTACTCTGTTTTCCGATATTTCTGACTGCCTCTGGCCATGTGTTGACGTAATTCGATTGACTTGTTTTCTTTGAATAGGTCTCGGTCCAATTTATGGACTCGTATCTCATCTGAACATCCGGCTTTAGACCTACTCAATTCATGAATCCTTGAAAATCAAGTTGAATATTTAAAAAAAATTTTCTGTATTTCCGCTGAAATCAGGTCTAGCAGGATCTCATATTTTTGCCGCTTTTCTATCAGAAACGACATCAGATCAGGGCAAATTTTTATTCCATGTGAATGGTCCACTCACTACTGTATAAAAATTCATGCCTGTAGCACATCATCGGATGGAAATGTGTCAAAAATTCCAAGTCAATGTATGGATAGCTGCAAAATATTGCTTACCAGCACTTTTGGTTCACGTAACGAATGAAAAATTCACAAATACATCAAATCATATTTAAAAATGTGATTCAGATTTTTCATTGCTGGAAATACTCTTAAAACGTCAATATATGACTTTTTGTGAAGTTACTACACCCTAACTAAATTCTCTTCACTGCGAATACTGACCCATATCTACGTACCAGGATCCCCCACCCTCAGAACCCATCTAAACCTCGCGGGAGCAACAGCTACCGCGGGGATACCCCTCGCGGAGGGTAGTCAACCTTAGACTTTCGTACAAATGTGTACAAATTCAGGCTGATATACCTTTCGTGAGACTAGAAAACCAGTGATCAAAATATATATCTATACTTTCAGAAAAAAACAGAAGGCAAGAAAAAAAAAAAAAAAAAAAAAAAAA